ATACACAAAGTTTAATATCAAAATATGCTCAAAATTGTACGCTTACAAATTAATGTTGTCTAAAAATAAATTCCTTGTAAATTTAAAAACAGATACACTATTTGAGCATATTTTGATATCAACTTGATAATAATATATTAATAATATAATATATAAGCACATTAAATTAATAATAATATTTAACTATATTTTTAATTTACTTAATTGGATTTAGTTTTTTAATTATTTAATAAATTTTTAAAAAATCTGTTAGTTATACTTACTCCTGGCTAAACACCCCCCGAAACGACATTTAGCCCCAGCCCTCACTTTCATTATTTATGCCCCTATATTATTCATACATGTATTAAACTTAATAATTAAAGTATAGATACATTATAATTGACAAATATAAAGGGCATAAGTAATGACGAAGGGCTGTGCAATCAACAGTATGAGCAAGAGTCTAGCCATGTAAAGTTATACTTATAGTTATACTTTCCCTTTAGTGGTTTAGTTGTTACCTTTACCGTTTTACATGTAGAAAATGACATAGTGATTTAGCATCCTGTTTTTATATGAATGTTAATGAGTGTGTCATTAATTTTATTCTTCAAACAACTTTTAAATGATATAATAATTATAAATTCAAATTTTTAATATAGTGTCCGGTGAAGTAAAAAGTGGCCAATTGTTGGCAATAATGGGCGCCAGGTTTGTGTCATTTTGAATAATCATTGATCATATCATTAAGATATTAAATATTGGTTTACCTGTTAATACAGTGGCGCCGGAAAGACAACGCTATTGAATGTATTGACGGCCAGAAACCTATCGAAACTGTCGGTGAAAGGAGTGGTGCTATTGAATGGACAGGCGGTCAGTGCCGGGAATATGGTCTCCCAGTCGTCATACATAGAACAACACGATTTGTTTCATTCCTTGCTTACAGTTAGAGAACATCTCGTTTTTCAAGTAATTTTTATATATGTTTTAATAAAAGACTTTTTATTACAAAACATTTTATAAATACTTATCATTTCAATTAAAATTTCATTTTTATAGTCATTGTTACGGATGGATACGAGTTTCACTCGAGACCAAAAAAGCGCTTTAGTGGACCAATTGCTCATAAAAGTTAGTTAACTACGTATAAAAAATAATTTATGATTATTTTAATTATTAAGATTTTATGCTTAAAAATTAACAATAATTTTAGTTTAATTTAAGCAAATGTATGGACACTCAAATTGGGGGCGATTTTGAGTTTAAAGGCATTTCTGGGGGAGAAATGAAGAGATTGTCGTTTGCATCAGAGGTTTGTATACTAATTATATATAAATTAATAATTGTGTTTTCAAGGTTGCAATGACTTTGTTTAA